CTGTACTTATAATTTATAATACCTAATTTGGGGTCTTTGATGACTGAGGTGAAAGAGAGAGAACTTTAATATATTTGTTGGATTTTGTTATTACTTTAATTAGGTCACAGTGGATTTACTTATTTGCAGTGGGTTAGTTGTAATTGGTGTTTTATACATGTGGTTAGAHAATTGTTTTACGTGTTGATTATGGAGAAGATCACAATAATTTTTGTGTGCGTTCCCAATTCATTGTTTATATGATAAAGGTTTACTCTTTTACTTTGTTCTCTTTTATTCATTTTTTTTATTAGTGTTGGATTCAATTATGTGTTGATGAATCATTTTTTGGCAGGAATAAGTGGATTCATTTTTTGATTACTTTGTTTTTTTTTCTTATTTGTATGTTAGTTTTTATAACTTCTGTTTTGTTATAGTTCTTTTGATGTCTGTTTTTTATATAGTAGGTAATTTTTTTTACTATTTCAGGTTTTTAGAAATTAGAACTTTGACCCATAAGGTATGGTTTCTCTCTTATATGTGTATAAGATATCTTTTTTTCTATTTGATTCGTGATTGTTCTTATATTCTTCTAATCAATTGTACCTTATTATATATACCTTATTTTCTTATATTCTTAATTTCATAAACCTTCCTCATGTCTAAGTTGTTCATGAATGGTGATTTTAATTATTGTGTTCGAACAATTTTGATTTCTTTGTTCTTATTGGTTTATTTTCTTTTTGATATGTTCTATTTATGAATGTTTAACAAGTTGTTGTAGTTTYAAACCTAACTTTGTGACTGRGTTTTTTAGGTTATGAAATAAAAGTCTTGAAACAGAGGGAAATCAGAGATGAGAAGCAAAAACTCTCAAAAAATGACTATAAACATCTCTGTTTATAAAATTGGTCTCTCTTTTTTTTGGCGTATTGGTCACAAAAAACCTATCCGGTATATCTATAAGACTATAACTTCTTATAAATATCATACTTAGGTCTCTAAACTCATGTTCGGTTAGCGTGAGTATATGTTATAGTAAAGGTCCAATACGTTTTGCTTTATTTAGATAATTTTCACTTCAGAAACAATATTCACAGAAAATACCAACAGAGAACTTGGTTTTGTTGAAAAAGGAACTCATTCGTCAGTCAATGCAAATCAGAAATTGAACCGCCCACCACGCATAAATCACACTGGACAGAAAGACCGTCCCTACAAAACACACGACAAAAAATAGTGGAACCACCACAAAGTCCTAACTGAGTATCTTGTGAACCAAGTTATTGAATATACGTGTTTTGCTTAACAGTGTCACCAATGATATAGTACTTGCTTCATATCAGAGAGGAAGTTAATAAAAACTCTACATAGATTTCACTTGAATGGATCGATATCACATTTGGCTAAGAGTTTGTGTTTTGTCTTGCTTTGAGTAGCTAAGATTACTTACAGAGTTGCACACATATCCTCACTCTTATCTTATGTGCTTTTCAGTCTTCTCCATGTTATTTATGTATTACCTTCGTTTTTCAGAGTTGTTTTGTATATTCAATTATGTCATTAGTTTTTTTGTTCATGATTTAGGTTTGATAATTAATATGAGTTTTTTTTGGATATTTCATTATCTTTTGTATGAATGTATTTATTTATACGCATTGTGGTAATTAGCATTTTTAATTAAGTATTCTTACCGATGAGTGTTTGGTATTGTTTTCTCATGTAGAGTAATTCGTTCTCATGATCAATGATTATATCTACACACATAATGTATTGTTCTCTTCAGCCGGTTTCATTTGTTTCTTCTCGAACTTCATCGTTATATAAACGGATAGGGTAGTGGAGATAAGTTTCTTCCAAATCCAAATTTAATTTTCGAAGATAAACCACAATCTCAAGATTTTATGATGTTCAATTCAATGTTGGGAAAGCCATTGATATGCACAGATCGCTTGTTGTAACTGAGAAAGCTAAAACCTACATCTTAATGCTTTTTTGTTTAACTTCACTTTAACATTTCTTTTCTCAAGTTACTATTAGAGTGATGATATTAGTTTATGATTATGTACATGACAACTATTTTGTCTTCTATACGAGATTGGGATAAACATTGTCCATAAAACTGGAGATTTTCTTGACAGATATTTGAAATAATAATATATGTTTTATGATAAAGATGAAACATTGTCCAAAAAAAAAGGAAATTTTCTTGAAATTTTCCAAATAATAGATGTTTTATGATAAAGATGAATGACTAATTCGGCTGAATTTATTGTAATCTACAATCTACTAAACCTCAATATATATTTGTAGTGTATTTGGCTTCTTATATATATCGAATCTGTCAATACTTTTTAAAAYKCCCAAAATCTCGATAATRTTACATTTATATCTAGATCATTTGGTAAATTAATTTGAAATTTATAAATTAATTGATGGCTCCTGGAAGGGGACAGACTCTACTTCAGGGTTAGGATGGGTATGTTTTCAAGGTGATGAAACTATCTTTTATGGAGCGAAAGGTCTCACACCGCGGAGG